GTGTTAAACGTAAAATGAACCTAATAGGCCAATAATTTTACCAGTTTTATAAAGTCATTGACATTGTGTCGTTTGAATCCGAATACATTTTATGATGCAACTCCGATGTAAATAATAATTGGGGCATAAAGATTAAATCTAGGCAAGTCTATTTTCTAAAAGCATTAAAAACTAAAAATAATGTTCGTAAAAAATCCAAATGTTCCTTCCGAGTAAGCTATTTGCATGAGAAGGTACTGCAAACTCTATTCAGGGGAGATAATAGAGTTTCAAAACTTTACAATTGCTCCAATAAACCAGTGAATGCACTGTCTTTTTCTATTTGAGTGTACTCCTACGTTTATTTTATATCATCAACACTCGTGTTGGAGTGGACTATATAATTATTTTTTATTATGCCAAATGTTGTGGGGGGGGGTTGAAATAGTTTTTTGGAAGGGTGGTCATTTTGTTTGGGGGAGGAGTTATAGCTAATATTAGGGGGGGGGGTAGCACCCCCCCCCCAAAAAAAAATCCGTCTATGCTTTTTAATCTAGTTAACTTAGGTAACTGAGGAGTGATTCAGATTAGCAAGCAAGTCTCCAGGTCTATTGTTCTTGCAATTTTGTATATAATTTTATATAGCTATTTCAATTAAGGTTGTCTCCCAAGCAAAGCAGAAAAGTCGAATACAAGCACGAAAGGCTGCTGAAAATCGCTAATAAATTCATTTATATTTCTGTATACACCACATATAATACTTAGAGTGATGCTTACATTCTCAATATGTAAGTAAACTTTTACAGATTACTAGCTGTATAAGGATGTATATATGATGGATCTCCAGTGGCATTTGCATGATGTGTTTGGAACAGTGTTTAATGTGCATTATAAAGAAATCTATGGACTTTGAACAAACGATTTGTCAGATAATATTGCTTGTCATGTGGAAAGAGTTGAAAAATTACTGCTTCAGGTCTTCAGGAGAACTTAAATTTGCTACAACACATTCCTGTGCAATCAGAACTACACCTAGTTGTGTAACAGTGCATCTGAAAAAAGAACTTGTATAAATTGACAATAATTTGATGTTTTGTATGTTACTCTGAGTGTATATCCACACCGGGCAGGCTAAAAAGTTAGCCTGACCATGGTGGGAATCGAACCCGCAACCTTTGGGACACTAGTCCAATGCTCTGCTAACTGCATAATACACTCAGAGTAACATCAAAAACAATATTCACCTGAGTACCTGTACATATAAACACCCAAACAACACATTCTTAATAAGAAAATTCTTTTTAAAAAAATTTCTTGATTTGAGAAATTATTTTCTTAAAATAAGAAATTATTTTCTTATTTTAAGAAAATTTTCTTATTTCAAGAATTTTTTTTCTTGGGAGAATAACAAGAAAATTTTCTTAATAAGAAAATTCATTTTAAGAAAAATTTCTTGTTTTGAGAAATTATTTTCTTAAAATAAGAAATTATTTTCTTATTTTAAGAAAATTTTCTTATTTCAAGAATTTTTTTTCTTGGGAGAATAACAAGAAAATTTTCTTAATAAGAAAATTCTTTTTAAGAAAAATTTCTTGTTTTGAGAAATTATTTTCTTAAAATAAGAAATTATTTTCTTATTTTAAGAAAATTTTCTTATTTTAAGAATTTTTTTTCTTGGGAGAATAACAAGAAAATTTTCTTAATAAGAAAATTCATTTTAAGAAAAATTTCTTGTTTTGAGAAATTATTTTCTTAAAATAAGAAATTATTTTCTTATTTTAAGAAAATTTTCTTATTTCAAGAAAACTTTTTTCTTGGGAGAATAACAAGAAAATTTTCTTATTAAGAAAAAAAATTTCTTGATTTGAGAAAATATTTTCTTAAAATGAGAAAATATTTTCTCAATTTAAGAATTTCTCTCAAGAAAATTTTCTTAATAAGAAAAATTTTCTTAAGAAAATTTTCTTATTAAGAAAATTTTCTTGTTATTCTCCCAAGAAAATATTTTCTTATTTCAAGAAAATTTTCTTAAAACAAGTTTTTTTTTCTTAAAATAAGAAAATGATTTTTTGCTGTGTACGCAAGTGGTCAATTACACAAGAGGAATTCATTCCGCTCCAGTTTCCATACAAACAGCCCATAACATAGATTGGCAAAGTATCTTACTCGTCATTTTGAAATTTCTTTACAATCTAAAAAAAATACTGCATTCAAGTTCTCTACTAGGCTTGACTGTTCATTCCACTTTTGCCCCAAATGGCCTCGTTTCCATCTTTCCTGGACCGCAAAGCAAGAAAAATAACCGCATGACAACAAACAAAGCCATTTGGGCATGCAAGAGTGAAGAGCAAATATACAGACAAAAACAAATAAGTAATTCCCAGTATTTCTTTGAGATACTTAGAACAAATTATCATTACCTATGCACTCTAAAAATAATTTTCCTAAAGTGTTCAATTTTCTTAAGTAAGACTCACATAAATAAGAGCTGTTTTGCCTCGGGAAGCAAACACAATTTCGTTTGGGACGTGATGCTGTTAATGCACTTAACAAATTAGTTTTGTATAGTTATGGACATGCTTAAACTGTCACAAATGCTTAAACTGCTAGCACGCAATATGACTTTTTATTCAAGAAACAAGCCTTAAGTCTCTTAGATATGAAGGTTACAAAAAATACGAAAAGTGGAATTAAGAAATAAAGAATTAAAAGCTTTTAGAAAGCTGGGCATATAACTGGGCTGAATGTTCTTATTGTTGCATAATTTAGCAAACACCTTGCGCTGTTCTAAATTATCCAATCAAAATGCAGTTGAGTTTTACGCATGCGCTGCGAGATGGTTGCGGCTACTTAGTATATATTATACCTTGGTGAACTAACTCAGTTTAACATTCAGGCTAAAACAGATCTAGAAGACGCAATTAAAGATGTTTGCGCTACAAGTTCTGGTGTCCTTCATGTTAGTTGGTCTTGCCGCATCCACGAACAATATTTACATTGATACAAGAATGCCAGAAGATGAGATTAGTCCTGTCCTACGGCGTGGTAAGCCTATTTTATACTTGTCTTTTTCCTTCGTTCTTTAATGGGTCATTCCAGCTGTGGACGAAATTTTGATCTAGGCAAGAAGAACGAAATTCATCACCACACATAGAAAAAGCATAAAAATGAAATTGCAAAGTTTGGTTACGAAATGTTGTAAAATGAGGAAAACATAGCCCTGCGAAGTTAGCAAATTTTGTATATATTTTTATTACGCGCGGTATATATATTTATATTTTCTTCATTTTACAATATTTCGCAACCAATCTTTGCAATTTTACTCATTCTAAGACTCTCATTCTAGATGTGATGTTGGATTTCGTTCTTGTCTAGATCAAAATTTCTTCCACAGCTGGAATCACCCATTGTCATTAGAGTTTTACTTGTGATTTATGGCCACTTTTCCCATAATTCTCTGATCCGAGTTGATCTCTTCAATTTTTCACTATCTTTATGGCCAAATTAGGCTGTACCGAAAATGTTACGATGTGTAGAAATTCAGGGCGCGAGTTCCTGCGTTTTCAATTTGCAGCGACACATTCCAGTCTTGAGGTCCATTTTTGCCAAATATGAAAAATATATCGATAACGCGAACTGAGATCGGAAAATACGCAGTTAATGATTTTCACTGACTTTATTAAACTCTGGCCGGTTGTTCAAAGCTATAGATGAGCGCTAACCCTGGGTTAAAATTGAACCTGCTATTTTACTTTTTAGTTTGTATATTTCTGCGCGTGTGTTTATTTCAAAACTTCAGAGAAGTAAACTCGTGCTGATTCAGACAAGTTTTCTAAAGAAACCAGACGCAGTACTAAAATGCGGTGCCCGCCTACAAATAAAACTTTTGGCGTTTCCGCCTGCATGTACAAGTAAAGTTATATTTAGCACGCTACACATTCTCCTGTTGGCCGCCAGTTGGTCCGTACGTTAGGATCAAAACTGCGTTTTAAAGCCTTCAAAATAAAATATTTTGGGCTCAAAATACTATCAAAATGAGGAGAAAAGTGAGACGAATCCACTGGCATACGGCCGAAAACGAGAAAACCAACAATTCCGAAGTTATCAAGGATTAAACGGACTGCATTTTCAATTAGTTTAATAATTTTGAACGATTTGTAAACAATACAATTTCGCTTATTAAAACTGCACATTAAAACCTTCAAAATATAATATTTTGGGCTGAAACTACAAACAAAATAAAGAGAAAGGTGAGACAAATCGACTGGTAAACGGACGAAAAATAGAAAACCAACAATACGAAAGTTATAGGCCGTGAGATGAGGGTCGAAAATATGCTTAGAAAACAGATTCCGTAGCACCCCTCGTGTAACTACATAATTTTACATGAATCTATAGACTATAACTTACTTAGTTAGAATCCACTTCCCCCCAAGCGAAATAGTTGCACAAATTGGGTCGTTCCAGAAAAGATCCATACCCCCCCCCCCACGGAGGAAATTTTTGCTGTCCGAAGGGGGAGGGAGGAAAAATGTCTTAGGATGTCCGAAGGGGGGGAGAGGAAAAATGTCTTAGGATGTCCGAAGGGGGGGAGAGGAATGTGGATATGTTTGTCTGAAGGTTTGAGACTGTGATAAAGCCATGTGATCGGCGATTATAATGAGCACGCAATTTTTATCGGCTATATATATGCAGCTCTTGAACACCGGAACGTTTATGTAACAGCAATAATTATACGTCCACGTAACTTGTAAGCAAAATAAGCGGCCCACTTTTGCATGCATGGCCACCAAAAACTAACTCGCTGTAACAGCGTATCCTGCATGTTTAGAATGAGTCGAAAATTGACACGCATATAGTTTGCAGTTTCCGTTCGCCATATATAAGTTTGCATTATTCAAGTGTTAAAAATAATAGTTATTAAACTGTTGCTCTGAATGATGTTAATAGTTATTAAACTGTAGTTTAAAAATAATAGTTATTAAACTGTTGCTCTTGTTAATGTGAACTGAACTCAAAACAATTTGTTTTAGTATATAGTCAATAAAGCTTCCTTGCGAGGTGCGTGTCTAGAAAATAGAAATGGCTTTCATATTAAGGGCGAGGTTAAGGAATGCAGTAATACTAAAAAATGTATTAACATGTCAACCTCGTACCCAGGGCTAGTCGCGAATTGAAGGCGGCGACATAGCCCTGGTAAACGCTGGTCACGTGACTCCAACATTACATAATTGTTACTTTTCTCAACCGGGGGGTGAATAGGTGAAACTCGAAGGCAAACAGTTTTTATCTCCGAAATTCTTCAATCTTCCTTGTGAATTTTGCACTTCAAGCTTTTCTCAAAGTACGGCGATCGATCAAATGGATCAATACTTTCTGTAGAAAAAACTCAGTGAGATTTGTTCCAATGAGACGTTTAAAAGACTTGGATATGTCGCCAAAGACGCTCGATCATTATTTGCACAGGTTTATGGAATAGTACTTTGTTCAGTTTGTTGCGACTTGCGAAGCAAATGAATGCAAATTCAACTCTTGTATAATGACTAAAAGTTGGTTTGTAGAGGGACAACTTATACAAAAGATATGAATACATTAGCTTCAAACTTGGGACAAGTTCATGGGTAATCATGGACAATGGACATCCCTAATATATGGACATTGACATTTCACCAATATGTAAATATGACTATTAAATATATAAAAGGATTGCTGTTGTATTACTTGTATATGTATATGTACAAGTGTTGTGCTGTGGTATTTACGTTTTTAACCCTTTAAGTGGCAATGGGCCATCCATTTGATATACACCCACCCCCCCCTATGGACTAGAATTTCTGAGGGGATTGAAAAAGCCATTTCTGAGGGGTTGTGTGCATCAGCATCCTTTGATCTTTGCATTTTTTCTGAGGGATAAGGCAAAAATTTCTTAATTTCTGGGGGGGAGTGTTGGTGTCGGCACTTTGATTTTTTTCTTTAGTTTACTCTGCCTAACACCAGACAATTTTACTCGTCAGGTGGAGAGTGCATGGCGCCACTCAATGGGTTAACATAGTCGATGAATATGCCAAATGATCCTTGACCGTGGTAGTGCATTTTTGCACTTGCTGGATGATATCGCAAACAAGCATTGTTTCAGAGGAAGAGCACTGAGATCATGCTGTGTAGCAATTGGAATCTCGCACAGAGTCTGCTCTCACATAAAGCAGGCAAGACCTTCACTCAGAAGCCATTCCTGATTAATATTAATTCCCCACATAAACACTTGGAAACCAGACTGGCCCATCTGCCATATATGCAGGATAAAAAAACATGCAGCCTGGACTTTAACTGTTAAACAACCAAATCAGCATGATAAACAGTATGATGATTTTTGCTTAGCCCAAACCAAAGCCAGTTTTCTAGAATTAATTTGCAGAATCCTAAGAATTGGACCTCCAACTTGAAGAGCTAGCTGCTAGCTGTGCTAACCAAGTTGCATGGGCAACCCTGAATTGACGTGACTAGAGCAAACCTTCAAAAATAATAGAGAGATCAGATTTGACTTCCACTACTGCTATTGCTATCATTAACTATTAACCAGATAAGTTTCATTTATCCAATCAAACAATCGGATGCAACTGCCAGATCAAGTAGTGGTAGTGGAAGTCAAATTTGAACCTTTCTATATGGATTTCAGAGAGACCAGTCATTATTTGCTGATATATTATTATAACTTGTTTAATCAAAAGCTACTATATATTCATTTATGATATTAAAAATTGATATAATTTTATCTATAAATTGAGAATAATGTAAAAAAAATATTCATAACATAAAATGATTCATGCATGCTGGTGATTGAATAAACCATGAAGTGTGCATTCTGAATCTCTACAAGTTCCTTGACATTGTTTTTCCAGTACAGTGTAAAACTATATAAATAAATGTGACACAGGTTGCAGGTATTAGGTTGCATGTCCACCAGTGTGCTGAAATACCATCCAGTGACCCTTTCTTGTTCATTGTTACTTGCATCTTGCTTAATTCAACTGTTTTTGCCCCATTTCTTGTACCCATAAAGTTCTTTTCAATAATCTAGAAAACTTCAAAATCATTCAGTAAATTTAATTTTAAAATTGGGTGAAAGGTAAGGGGTCAATAATAGATGAAGAAATCATTTCTTATTGTTCATACATATGGCCCCCATCTCTGTCAGGTATTAGAGTAGAAATTTATTGAAGTCTGAAGTCAGAAAATAAATATGCCGGACAAGGTTACACGTCATACTGCAGAGTTAGGCATTTTTTTTAAAGATCTCAAGGCCACAAAAGGTATAAATATAGATTATAGGGGCAAGGGAACAAAATAATGAAATAATTTTGAGATTTGGAGGTAGGTTTCCCTAAAAAATCCCTGATCAGCTGGAGTGCTGAAACTGATGTTTGACTATTGAAATATCCTAGCAGGTTAGGTTCATCAGATTTTAGCTTTGTTAACCTGGCCACTCTGTTATTACAGTAATGGCTTATTTAAATAATTTAAGGTCATTACTGTAAATGTAAATACAAAGTATTTGAAGTTAATACTGCTGTAAAATGTAGTTTAATAATACTGTATTAAAGTGTAAACACGTTTCTCACAGCGATAAATCAATATTGTAAATAATAATCATGTGAGAGTAGAACTTTACTGAGAGTCCGAGTATAGTATTATAGGCCATAGTCTGGCCATATGTTTCTCAATATTCACAATATTTAACTACAATTGTACAAATTCAGCTAACTATATTAACATACTGTATAAAATATATTACAGTAAATAGCCTTCGAAATATATATTTCATAGAGCTAGACAATGTAACAAATAATGGGAATCTGCTAAATAATTTGTAACAATGAAATACTTCTAAACATTTTCAAATTCATATATACTGTACCTTTTTATACTTGATGGAAATCATCACAAATACTCAAATAGTAGGTACGAGATTGGCTCCATTTTCACTGCTTCGAAATTCGAAACATCGCCTCCTCGGCGATTTACATAAAAGAAGATGTACATTCGACGTAATATATAAACGTAACATATTAAGAAGAAAGATTACAACAAAAAATAAAAAAATATAAATAATCCGCGGCAATTCAAGTTCCATTCGTGAACTTTTCGTCGCCCCCTGTCTTTATTTCCACAAAGCCCGCTCGCAGGCTAATACTCCAAGAATCTTGGAGTATTTGCCTGACACGTGACCAGCGTTTACCAGGGCTATGTCGCCGCCTTCAATTCGCGACTAGCCCTGGGTACGAGGTTGTTAACATGTAAGGAAACACAGCAACGCTTGTCAATCAGTCGCAAGTTACATCGAATTTCAGTCCGAATTTTACTTGAACGAATTTCGAAGTGAATTTCTGCAAATTATCCGACAAAACCTGCCACGTGTTTGTGTTCGCAAGTCACAAGAAGCCGTTAAGTGTTCCGCCACGCCGGAGCTATTTGAGAACAGCGTAGAAAGTCACAATAAGCCATCGCTAATTCACTCTACGCTGGAGCGAAATCGTTTGAAAACTTTCACGTCACTTTTGCCGTAACAATTTGAGCACGGTTTCTAAACGGAGCGAGGTGAAAACGGCGGAGCGCTTGATAGCTTCGTGTGAACACAAATGTGTAAACTCGAATGCTTTTCAGTTAAATTTCTTGGGTCTATTTGAAATATTTTGGGTTCACACGAGTGCTAATTCAATTTGTAAACAAACTGTAATGGCGGTAGTATGAACACACGTAAATTCTGCCCGCATTAGTTCGCTCGCGCGTAGTGTGAACGTAGTCTAATTTGACGTTTTCAAACGGCGAGGTAGCCTTTAGAAAAATTTAGAAATAGTGGATGTCCGAAGGGGAGGGGGGTAATTTTGGGCTTGGATGTCCGGAGAGGGGGGGGAGGATGAACCATTCAAGGATGTCCGAAGGGGGGGGAGGGGGTTATTTTCGATTTCCTCCGTAGGGGGGGTATGGATCTTTTCTGGAATGACCCATTGAAGTATAAGCTCTTCAAAGTTCACGCTTCCTCGTGTTTCGGAATCCATGAACCGCCATTGTTGTGTTGCAAATACTACGCATGCGCTTGAGCACAAAACACGTAATGCGCACGCGCAGATAAGAAAAACTGATCTCAATCTAGGACTGGACAAGAAAAAAATTATGAAATGTGCGAAAACAGGGCTGAAGTGCAACAAGATGACATCGGAATATTTTAAAAATATATGATATTTTTATGTTCTGTGCATTTTAACGGAGTTTACCAAACATTCTGAGCAATGTACCGTGTCGAGCCCTCGCCAGGAACACTTCCAAGCCAACATTACAATAATAACTTATTTAAAATATGATGTTATTTTATACTACAGCAATTGCATAACGTTTGCAAGCGAATCTGTTTTTCAGGCTTTAAATAATATCACAATCCTAAATATTCTAGAACATGCATACCGTAATTTCTCTATCCAATTTATTAGGGGAGAAGGGGGGAGGGGGGTTTAATTCTAATATATACAACTGTTTTGCACGTTCGATTCTCTTTATATATGCAACATCGGGTACTGTGATTATCAGTAAAATATCATAATTATCTTTCAAATACAATACTTTCATGTTTCACGATTTTATACATTAATTAATTGGTTGCAGGAGAAAGGGGTGGGGAGTAGGGGTGGGGGGTGCTAAACAGAGAAATTATGATATACCATAAGGGAGTGGTCATTATTTATGGGGAGGGGGAAAGTTTTGAAATGGGGAGAATAAGAATTGAAAACTTCCCCCCCCCTCCAGACTGAAGGCACTTTTTGTGCCTCCCCCCTTATAAAAGTAGAAACGTTTCTGCCCCCCCCCCAGTGTAGATTGAAAAATTAACAGCAATGAAACATGCGTGCATTGCAGGTAAAGTTAGATATTAGGACAATGATTGTCCGACAATCTGTTCAATCTAGCTCATGATGTTTTACCCTGGGGCCGATTGTTCAAAGGTGGGTTAGCGCTAACCCTGGGTTAAAAGTTTAACTTGCTGTTTTAGTTTGTGTATTTCTGCACGTCTGTTTATTTCAAAACTTCAGACAAGTAAACTCCTATCCATCCAGACAAGATCTCCGAAGAAATATTTCCAAATTTATAGACAAGCTGTCAGGAAGTTTGCTTTGAATTTTAGGTTAACCTAGGGTTAAGCTAACCCAGCTTTGAACAACCGGTCCCTGGTGAATATGATTCAACCATATATGATTAAAAAATATATATTATGTGTTACTACTTTGCAATGCAACATTTGTCCTACCATAACCCTAACCCATGACCCGTCTTCATACAGCGAAATGAGGTTTTAAGAACTTGTCTGGGGGGTGGGCATCTACAAAAAGGGACCATACTATATTGAGTGTGTAGAGACGACAGATGGTTGTTGGTGACAAAAAGTTTGGTGTGGTATCGTATGTACTAGTAGGGGGGTCTGGGGGTATTCTCCCCCAGAAAAGTTTTTGTATTTTTCCACCCCTAGAACTGAAATGTGAGCATTTTCTGAAACAGATTTTTGGATATACAGCGTTACATTGTGCGTTGATAGACCGAATCTGATCAGTTAAGTGCACTTGCATGGTATGTTTATGTAAATACCACAACTGGGTCACTCAGGGGGTAGAAAGCTTGTTAAACTTAGTGGGCCCAACTCCCACGATCGCGAGGCGCTACCATGGTTGGCGCTGAGCAGTAATTTTGAAAATTTTGAGTCTCTGGATCGTTGGAAATAGCATTTTCAGAGTCTTCTTTTTTGCTATTTGTGATTATAGAAATCAGAACTCTAGACATGGTATTTAAGTTCAAAAACTTTTTTGACCCCCCCTATTTATAAGGGTAAAACTTCGTTTGCCCCCCTCCCATTTCCCAACCCCCCCCCTCCCCAAAAATAATGACCACTCCCTAAATATGACTGAGTGTTACTCGGTGCTCACAATCTTATTTATTTTCTAAATCTTTCCCTGTCAATTTTATTAGTCCAGGTTCGTTGTTTATTATTTCTTTTGCATTTAATCCATTATTAATAAGAATGAACGGAGGTTCAGGCTCTACGCTGACTGGAACTTCATTACGCCCTCGGTTTTTGTACCAGCCAATTTCGTGTTCAAACACTCGTGTTACGTTGTTGATCATGCACGCCTTTACCACGAACGCCTTTTCGCCAATTCAATATATTTGTGCAATCATCGTGATCAGTTTATCAAAAAAAAACAAAGCAGAAGGAAATAGCGTAGTAGATTTTAGGAGGTATTGTTATGCAACAGCATTAATGGCGTAACGTTTGCAATCTAATTATAATAACTTGCGCATACGACGCGCGCATACCAAGAGAATGGGAGTTTTTGTCTTATCTATTTAGCATTAACAGCTTTAAATTTCCATAACACACTGTCCATTCTCACTCAAGTAAATTTAAATATGCTATCCAACAGCATTAAGACGCAAATCGGAACAAGACCAACAGATTACCTGACTCAGACTGAGTAGTTTTCTCTTTATCAAAACATCACTTCTCTCCAAAATGTCCAGAAACGTAGCCATGCAGGATTTTTGGTCAGGGGGGCAGCAAAAACGTAGGTGGGTTATGTTTCACTTCTTTTTATGGAATAAATTTTCTCAGGGGCACCAAAATTTTACCAGGGGGGGGGGTCCCCCGAGCCCCAACATTGCTACGCTAAAGGCGTACATGAACAACGAAATACGAGTGTTTGAGGATTGGTTGGTACAAAAACAGAGTCGTAATGAGGTTCCAGTCAGCGTAACTCAGAATTGGTACGTTGGCCCTTGAGGCAAAGAGTTAACCTCCGTTCTTTGGCTTAATAATGGATTAGACGCAAAGCCAATAAACAACCATTACCCGGACTAATAAAATTAATTGACGGGAAAAGATTTAGAGAATAAATAAGATTGTGAATACCGAGTAATACTTAGTTTATGGTATATAGTCATTTCTTTGTTTAGCACCACTTCTTCCCCACCCCCGGCCCTCTCCTGTAAGCAATTAATGTATAAAATCGTGGAGTGAAATTGTATTTGAAACTTGAAAGATAATTATGATATTTTACAGAAAATCACAGTACTCGATGTTGCATATTTAAAGAGAATAAAACGTGCAAACAGATTCTTTGTGTATATTAGAAATACCTCCCTCCTCCCCCCCCCCAAAAAAAAAATGATAAATTACGGTATGAGTTCTAGAACGTTTACAGGACCGTACGCAGAATGTTTTCATCAGCTGGGGGCAGTAAGGCCTATATGCCGAAAAACGTCACAAATATCCAATGAATAATTAATAATGATATTGCCTCTCCTGCTGTGTACGGCCCTGAATGTTTAGGATTGTGATAATATTTAAAGCCTGAAAAACAAATTAGCTTGCAA